AGCAGCTGTCAATAAGGAAAGCACCTAGCATAATGCCAAGCATATACATAGTAGGCATTTAATAGGAGGTAGTTTTTGCTATCTCAGGCTCAGATTTATTTAGGCACAGCCCAATCCAGCACTTGATATAGGCAAAGCTGAAGAGGAGCTTTCTACCAATCTTCTCCCTGCTGCTATAAATTACCGTGATCATATTTTCCAAACCAAAATCAAAGCATGTTGTCTGAGTATATGTTACTTAAAAGAACACAAGGACTGACTCTTTGATATGAAACTGTCCTGAAAAATCTAGAGTCTATTATTGCCATAACTAGAATATTAGGGTCTTCAGAATGTTTTATTAGTGGAGCTAAAATGAAATGGACCACACAGAGACACATCACACTTCTTAATCTTAAAATCCTTTGTAATTAACTCCTCTAATTCTCCACTCCTAATGCTGCAGAAGACCAATAACCAAATAAATCTTTTTTTTTTTTTTTTGAGACAGAGTCTCACTCTGTTATCCAGGCTGGAGTGCCATAGGGTCAGCCTAGCTCACGGCGACCTCAAACTCATAATACTCCTAAATATTTTTGATGATTATTTTTTCTACTAAGAAGTCATATCTATACTAAGAATGAAGAATGCTTCTTTTGTTTCATATGCACAAGATAGATCATGATTTGAATAATGTATGTACAAAAAATGTTATTATCTTCACAAAAGAGATTCCAACTATCAGTACTAATACAGTAACATCTAATACAATCCTCAAGTCCCACTTCCAAATCCACACACAATAAAGATTAATCCCTTTATCCTGTAGGCAACAGGTAGAGATGAGAGAATTGGCCTGTTAATAAATTTAAATAACTGCTTCCAAATGTCATATACCTGCTTGTCCTGTTTGGCTGAGGTAACTGTTCAATGACCTGACTGATGGAACCACATGTGTCCAAATGAGAAGAATCCACAGAGTCTGAAAACAGTAATTGGATATTAGTACAAAAGGTACTTAGCACCAAACTTTAATACAAAACCAGAACTACAGACAATACCACTCTAATCAGCAACATCAGAACATCAATTTTTGAGAGCCTACTATGCATCAGATACCACACTATGCTTTCTTACACACATTCATCACAAACACGTAAAGTTTAAATCCACCTAGCTCCAACAAGAACACCCAAAAAATGCAAAGGGTACTAATAGCATTAAACACCTCACCTGCAGCCTTGTTTTCTTTCAAATGTTCATTGAACCCACTATTACTGCCTCCCTGTTCTTCTCCAGCTGTTTGCTCAGGATTGGACACAACATCCTGGAAAACACACATACATAATATCCCCACTGTGTATGAAATAGTCGAAAATTAGACATACTACCTGTGAACATGTTGATTTCATTTTTCCAACCAACTTTATCAAAAAGATAGTGATCTTTTACACACTATGTTTGCTGGTTGATCTAGGTTAGGAAAAAAAAAATCTGCTCAATCATTTTCAAACAAGATATCACTGACCAACACAGGATTCTCTTTGTGCGTCTGTAGGTTAGGAAGGTGTCGAGACAGCACACCAAAGTGAGAACCAGAATCATCTTCTAGAACTTGGCTTTCAGGCTGAGAATCTTCAATTATCAGGCAAGGAGTATCTTGCTGAGAGAAATCTGAATCCAACTGACTTCCTGTAGGGTCCATCTGCTCCCCTGGAACGGAATAACAAAAGATCAGTTCTGCGTAACCCACAACTAGCCTTTCTCACACAGTCTGAGCCTAAATCATGGGGCGGAAGTACAAGAGCTGGGAAAAGGGACCAGACCATGACTCCTTCAATTACATTATATTTATAATCGCTGCGAGCACTTTCCTATCATGCCTCCCAAGCCCTCGATTCCTGTTATTTACAAGAACCCTACCTATCCCTCCCTCCCTCTTCTTTTTCATCACCTTCCCGTAGACACCCTTTCCCCTCCTTCCTAACCTCTTCTCTCCCCGCCCTTTTTTCCACCACCCCCAACTCTCCCTACGTCCTTCTGGAGCCTCTACCGCCCCGCAAAAGGCTGCTTTGTAATTTCTTTTCTCCAGAACCTCCACAGCCCTTCACGGTTCCTCAGGACCACCCAGCCTTCCTAGCTACTGCTTCCCCACCCCCTCTTCAGGGCCCTCCAACCCTTTCCCCGTCACCGCCGCCATGCTTGCCACCCCGCCCCCTCCGGTCAGCCATCCCTTCAGACCCGAAACCCGGGCCTTCAGAACCGACTGCGCCCCCATTTCTCTCCAAACGGTACCAGGCATCCCCGCGGGAGGTCCTTCGCGCTCGAGCTAGAGGTCTCTACACGCTCCCCAGGTCCCTCCAGCTCGATCCCCAGGTCGCCGCTGTGGCCACCGCCGCCACCGGCCGCGAACTCCCCCTTTTCCCGTCGCGTCACGCAGTACCGGATCGCCCATTCGCTGCTGCTGCCCGCCACTCAAGAAATCCTGTAGATGATAGGTGGCTGAGGCGGAGTGCCCCGCCCCACGCGAGAAAAAGGAACACGGCGGCGCGTTTCCATGGCAGCGTGGACGTTGCAGGCCCTCCCCCTACTAGAGCCAGAGAATGACAGTATCCTTGAACCGAAGGGACCTTGAGAGGGCGTGAAATATATTCCTCTGCCTCCAGGACGACAGTATTTACCACTACTCAGACATTTAAGAACCTCTACCTGCTTTCTGTCGTTCATGCACTGTAAGGCCCCTTCCCTCACCCTCTTCCACGGAAAAAGAGTTTCCCAGCTTTCTAATAAAAGGCAAAGAATAATTGAGGATGGCTAGTACTTCAGAGCTGGTGAAATGGAAGAGGTGACTCTTTCCTCTCTGATACTGTGTCAATCAGAATCCCTTTTGTGGGCCTCTACCTGAATTCAAGGGTCTGACATTACATCTCTGACAGTTTTTTGTTTTGTTTTTTACATTGTCTGAGGGCTCCAGTAAGCCTTATTTCTTCCCATTTCCCTTTCCAGCCTGGGACATATTTCAAGCTTCACATTTGTTTATCATTGCCCTATCTTTCATGGGATTGCAGCCTACGGAGACTACAGCCCCAGACGGTAAGTGTTTTGCACCTCCCATTGAGAGAATTAAGCACCGTGATTCCCAAACTCTATGATGAGGAAAACAGCTGCCACCTCTTCTAACTAGATGACCTCAAAGATCCCTCCAAGCCTTGAGATTCTATTATCCTAATTATACTGTCAGGGTCTTATAGAGGGTGCGGGAGCAACCATGACTATTAATGAACTAGGCCCCATAAGGCAAATGTCTTTGTTTGGTTTTTTTTGTTTTGTTTTAATTTAAATGGCAGTTGGATCTGGGATAGAATTCTAGCCACAGCAGCTGTCAATAAGGAAAGCACCTAGCATAATGCCAAGCATATACATAGTAGGCATTTAATAGGAGGTAGTTTTTGCTATCTCAGGCTCAGATTTATTTAGGCACAGCCCAATCCAGCACTTGATATAGGCAAAGCTGAAGAGGAGCTTTCTACCAATCTTCTCCCTGCTGCTATAAATTACCGTGATCATATTTTCCAAACCAAAATCAAAGCATGTTGTCTGAGTATATGTTACTTAAAAGAACACAAGGACTGACTCTTTGATATGAAACTGTCCTGAAAAATCTAGAGTCTATTATTGCCATAACTAGAATATTAGGGTCTTCAGAATGTTTTATTAGTGGAGCTAAAATGAAATGGACCACACAGAGACACATCACACTTCTTAATCTTAAAATCCTTTGTAATTAACTCCTCTAATTCTCCACTCCTAATGCTGCAGAAGACCAATAACCAAATAAATCTTTTTTTTTTTTTTTTTGAGACAGAGTCTCACTCTGTTATCCAGGCTGGAGTGCCATAGGGTCAGCCTAGCTCACGGCGACCTCAAACTCCTGGGCTCAAGCAATCCTCCTGCCTCAGCCTCCCGAGTTCCTCCCAAACTACAGGTGGAAGCCACCACGCCTAGCTAACTTTTTCTATTTTTAGTCACCCAGCTAATTCTTTCTATTTTTTTAATAGAGACAAGGTCTTGCTCTTGCTCGGGCTGGTCTCGAACTCCTGACCTCAAGCAATCCTCCCACCTCCAAGAGTGCTAGGATTACAGGCATGAGCGATCATACCTGGCCTAATGACCAAATAAATATAACCCTAAAGGGACCAGGTCAGGGCAATATTAATCATACTAGGTGGACAAAATGAGTTCATCTGCTCAATTTGAGAGGGCACAAACAACCAGGTCTCGTTATGGCAAATAGTGACCTTTATTCCCATAAAAGTCCCCCCAGAATCACTTTCTTGTTGCTGTTCTTCTCCAGCCTGCTATTGCATTTCTCCCTCCCCAAGTGAGGCATAAACAGGTCTTTTGATCATTTGACAAACAATTATATGTTTCTCAAAACTCATAAAACTAAAAAGAGTAAATTAAACCTCAATAAACATGACTAAAAATAGACAAATAAATAAATGAGCTGAGCCATACCCATTACTAAATAAAACAAGAGTCTTAAAAAAAACTGTGAAGAAAAACTGTGAATTCCTTGTTAGGCAGTGTGGCAATTAAATTAATCATTAAATTATCCAGGAAGATCAGAAACTACAGGTAGAATTGTTACCCACTGAGGCTGTGACTGATTGTAGCCAGATGAACCAAAGGCCTTTATTGACTCCTAGACTGCAAAGGACCATCAACACATCGACCTATCTACAGGTACATCTTTATTTAAGTCACCTCAGAGAAAGAGAAATCTAATCTACCTCTAAAGTCCTCTCAGAGAAGAAAACTCCGTCAGACCCTATGTTAACTTGCTTTAAAGTTTAACAAATCTCATTGTCAGAAATTTTTCTTCTAATCATCTAACCTAAATCCTTTATTCTAGAGCTCAAAGCCATTTTCTTTCATAGTGTCTTTAACTGGTATCTTTAAAACCTGGATAGATATCATTAAGTTGGGATCATTTCATTTGGTTCTATAACTCCATAATAAATTTCAACCAATCAAACAAACATAAACGCTACATGACTTAGTTTGTCAGTCTTTCTCTGACATCTCCTCACAGACTTCTCTATGCAAAAGAACTTCAGCCAGTTTATTCTTCCCTTATGGGTATTATTCACCAACCTTTAAATTTGCTTCATGGTTTCATGGAAATTCATAGTTTTGGAGCTTAGTGGCAGAAAACTCTACTGAGGAGAATCTGATAAGTATGGGATTTAGGCCAGGCGCGGTGGCTCACGCCTGTAATCCTAGCACTCTGGGAGGCCGAGGCAGGTGGATTGCTCAAGGTCAGGAGTTCGAGACCAGCCTGAGCAAGAGCGAGACCCCCGTCTCTACTAAAAATAGAAAGAAATGATCTGGACAACTAAAAAT